TCTTGCTTACTATTTGCATTTTTAATTAGTAAAGCTTTTGATTCCTGTGACAGTAATTGGTTGTGACAGAGATGTGCAAAGTCACAGATTCTACAGTGAGCAGCAGGATCAGACCAGGAGGTTTGTACAGGGCCATACGTCCACAGCATAATGCCAGAGACACCATCATTTCTTCTGTCACTTCCCGCAGTGTGGGGAGAAATGGGGAGACATAGAGCAGCTGGTGGTGCAGCCCGCGGTGACAGAGACGGCACATGACGCAAGAGAAATGTGACGAATGTAAATAGTTTGTAGGGTTAAGAGAGACAAGAAATTATGATTCTGTCTAATTAGGATTTTTGTAAATTTTGCACAGCCCTATTGAGATGTAAAACTGTTTTTTAAATAAATATGTGGACATATTGAAATGTATAATCTTTATTTTTACTTTGACAATGTTTGAAGGATGGCTGACTGGGTGACCTTGGGTTCGAGACTGTGTCTGCCCGGGCCTTTCTGAGCGGAGTTTGCATGGTTCTCCCTGTGTCTGGGTGGGGTTCCTCCGGGTGCTCCAGTTTCTCCCACCACCCTACACCTGCACCATATAGACAAAATCCTAGTTTATTAGATCTGGTGTAATCTGATCCAAACCTGGACATGAGTACCCAGGTGCTGCTCTAATGACATATTGGGTTAAATACAGTGGACAAATTTCCCTTAATCATAGTATCTTCATATCATTTTCCTTTGATTACGGTAAAAACAAATTCAAATGTGCACATGACTTAAAACCCTAGGCACAAACAGGCAGCACAAACTAACAGAAACTGATGTCAAAGTCAAAGTATATTTTATAGGACACGCGGTGCAGAGCAGAGGGCTCAATGACAGTGTTTGTGGTGCTGAGCAGCAATAGGATTCTCTTCTGTACACTGTAAAAAAAAAAAAGTTGAGTCAACTTAAAAAAGTAAAGCAACCAGCTGCGAAGCTTTTTTGAGTTCACTCAACTTTCAAGATATATATTGAGCAAAATTAAAGGAGGAAGTTGGGAACATTTCCTGTTGTGTTTAAATCCCACTTATCTCAATAATTACAAGGGAATACAAATTTTAAATCAGTCCAACTAAGAATAGTAACTTGACCAACTTGACAATTAAACATTTGCTGGACTTTAAACAAAAAGTTGGTTCAAATATCAATTGTTAATTCATCCAACTCATTCTAGAAAGTTGAAACAAGTACAATGTTAAGTTGGGTGAACTCAACGTTTTGCACCTGGTGGCTTTACTATTTTAAGTTGGGTCAAATACCAATAGTTAATTTCTCAAACTAATTTTAGAGAGTTGAATCAAGTACAATCTTAACTTGTTAACTTAGGTTGAGTTAACTCAAAAAAGCTTCGCAGCTGGTTGCTTTACTATTTTAAGTTGAGTCAATTTTAGAAACTAAGTTCTGAGGATTAACATTTACAATTTAGGCAATTCCTTGTATCAAAGACACATTCCACAGAATGCTGAACAATTTAAATATCAACAGATAAAATTACTACTATGGGTCCCCTTAAAGCATCACAAGAAAAACAAGATTAACATGAGACATTTATTAAACATGTTAATTAAAACTGTCTCCCCAGAGTTTTGATATTGGACTGAAACATGCACGGACCACAGGCTATTTTTAAAAGCACTGTCATACACATCATCAAAAGACAAAAACGAAATTTAGTCTTAGTTTCTGTCAAACAAGTGTTAAACATTGTAAAGTACAATCATTTTACAGCAGCAGTGGGTGACCTGAAACTACATTCAATCCCATCAAAATAGAACAATATTTCACAGCTTCAACAATGAAAACGTTCAACATGGCTAAGTGCAATTATTTAACAGCAGCAAGTTCTCATTAAAAAAATATATATGTATAATGTATATAAAAAGACTTTTGAACCACCAGGAAGTTCTGGTACATTTACACGTTAATACATTAACATTTTGTTTTTGAAGGTTTGCACTCTCGCTGAGCATTTGGTATCCAGGCACATGAACAACTTCTGAATCGTTTCGAACGTGTATTTCAGTTCCTTTGGGTACGCCATGTTCAGGGCATACACAAGACCGAACAGGAGTGCAACTGCTGTCGGCAGGTCACTTACTTCATCAATGACTATCTGTTCCTCAAGCACCACAGTAAAGAACCTCGCGTTTGGGATTGAGTCAACAGTCCCAACATCATCCTCAACAATGGTTAACACTCCCATCTTCATGCCACCAACATGATTTTCTTGAGGCTGCATGTCCTGTTTGAAAAAAAGTCAAATTTAGCACACTAAAAAGTATAACATCAACAGTTAATAAAACAGTATGGTTCTAGTCGTTCGCATGAATATGTCCTTTTTCCTTTTCTCTTTGAAAAAGCTTCAAAAAGTCACTCACAGGGCATGTGTAAAATATGTAATGTTTTGTAATAAACACATGTCATCTTAATCTTATTAACATAGAGACAGCATGTTGAAGTTATATATTTTCCCCCAAAATGTTAATTTAGGTTTCAATAGGGATAAATAACATGTATTTTGGAAACAAAAATATAGGTACTCCAGCTTTAAATAGTAGCCCTCTTGTGACATAATTACAAACAGATTTTGCAAATAAACGTTGGGCCATCAACCCCAATCTCAAATTGGCTACTTGCACAAATCCCATAATACTTTGCGCTCTTGAGGGGGTAGCGCCCATATAGCTCCCATGAAGTTGTGTGGAAACTGATTTTAATTTTCATAACAACATTCGAAAATAAAGTTAGTTTACCATTAGAAAATAAAAAAAACTTGCTATTGGCAAAACTATTGTTTGGAACTGTAATATTCTGAAGAATGCCCTGGGATCAGAGCCTCAGAGAGACACCCCTCTGCTTATTCCGGGCTTTGGTGCGCAGAGTGGGGTTCTGTGGAGAACAGCCCGGCTTTAGTGGACTCTGCTCTGCTGGATGTTGTCTTTGAAAACAATCAACGCACTGGATTAGGATTTATTTATTGTCATTTATTAATGAAGATTATAGACCTACATCCATATTTGTGGGACTGGATTTACGCGAGTCATGCGTAATCAAGCACGTGCATCGCCCCAAGCATGTCCTGCCTGAAGCAGGACATGCTCAATTACTGCATATGGGGATTGTCCTCAGTTGGGCCCGGCTCACTCCCTGTGATGGGGCCAGTCCTTTACGCGCACAACTTTATGTGAAACGGGCTGTTCTGTTCTGCTAAATGGCTCCACAGAACCCCACTATCTGTGCACCAAAGCCAGGTATAAGCAGAGGGGCGTCTTTTTGAAGAATGCCCCTGGGTAAGAGCATCAGAGTTCCACCGTTCCGAACAGTTTTGCTAATAGCAAGTTTTGTTTTTAACAATAGCAAACAATTTTTTTTGCTTTTCAAAAAGAAAATCTGTTGGCCAGCAAGTACACACAGACAATTATCTATGCTCATCACTTAGTTTTCAGGCCTTGACATTAAGCTTTCTCAGCCACTTGCCCGAAGGGTAAGTACCATTTATATTTTACTTGCCCAATGTCAAAAGTTGCTTGCCCAAATATTTCTCAATACAATGAGTTAACAAGAGTTTGGCAATAAAGGGGCACTAACTGTGAAGAAAAAAAAAAAAAAAAAAACCTACTCTCAGCCTAAAAAGTCAAATAATGACTCCCAGGGCTCTTAAGTATGCAAAATAAAAAACAAGACGCCTGTCGTGGTGTGTTCTGTTTGATTTGTTCACAAAATTTTCCTTTTGTGGCCAACCAACATGCATTTTTAAGGCAAGGGGAAATTTAGGTACCCAAGCTTTAATTTCGTGAGTTTTGGTTTCGCATAGGTAGGAGACCAGCACTTGCAACAAGCTGGGGATGGTCCTGAACGCGTGTCTATGGTTCTGTCCGCGTGACTCTATGGTTCTGTCTGCACTTCTATGGTCCGCGCTCATAGAAGTATTCAAAGCGGCTGTCATTACAAAGCGGCAGTAGGTGCTCCCAGGGTCAGAACGGAGGATGCAAATATTGTTCGAGTACGTACAGCAAACAACAGAAAGTGCCCGCGGTCACACATTTCACAGAAATGACATTGTCAGCGGAAAACAGTCGGGAATTGCGGATCCTTGGGAAATTTTGAAGATAATTGATCAAAAAAGAAATGCGGCAATGCATTCCCGCATTGAATGGGTTAAAGTAATACTTCACTTGCCCGATCGGGCAACTTGCAAAAACAGCGCACTTGCCCGTCCAAAATCTTTAGTTGCCCCGGGCAAGCGGACAACCGTTAATGTCGAGCCCTGGTTTTATCATAATTTGAAGGCGAGTGATCGCTACTTACAAACTACTTTAGAAAAGCTTGTTTCTAACGTTTGAAGAAACAAATTTAAAATACCGCAAACCATGAGTATTTCCAATCTTAATTCAGTAAGAAAAGAAATGTATTTTACCTTGGCCCATTGCATGATTAGTGTTTCTCTGATGTAAACAAGTCATAAAAAAGTATTACTCACCAGACAGGTTCTCAGGAAACTTTTAGACTCATCCCTCATGATCAACGGCAGACCTTTAAGAGCAGCAGATTTTCGGTGGGCAAGTACTTCTGTGGTCTGAAAAACATAAAATAAAATTCTAAATATCAAAAAGGACCTGTGGACTATGAGTGGGATACTGTACTGTGTTCTTTGAAAACCCCAGAACAACAGATTAATCTGAACTTTTACCTAAAATCCATTTTAACACAAATTAAGTGCAAGCCTGATGCGATCTGCACTTTGTGCCATGGTGGAGATACTGGGACCTTCTTGCACATTCTCTGAGAATGTCCTGGTGTGGCTCAGGTCTGGGAGATGGTGGCCTCTGAACTGTCCTCCAGTAGTGCCCTGCTCTACCCTGGTGCTCCTCCTGAATCTCTTGGCTTGGACATTGTGTATTTGTTCCTTTTATTTAGTACCATGTACCCTCGCCGCACACCGTTCCAATGCTGTGTGTGTAAAGAAAATGTCAAAGGATAGTCACCTGATCGTCAAGATTCTCCAACAGGGTCTTCATATCTTTTCCCCACAGCGCAGCACGTGCCCTGTACAACCTGATAATCTTAGGCGCATACTCATCCAAAGATGAGAAGAATCGGTTCATCAGGTGGGTTTGTGTGATCCGGAAAAATTCAGCAGAAATCTAAAGAGAAAAAACAAAAAGAAAATTACTTTTAGATTACTACCAGTAAGTATTTACTTATTACTACCAGTAATAACTCACCTGTTCAGGCAAAAACAATGCGGGCCATTGTCTCTGGACATCCAAGACAAGAGGCTCTTCCATCACAATCTCTTTTCTTCTGAGGGAAAAAGTCATCTCCATCTTGGACTCCACAAATGCCATATTTGGATATTTTTTTCTCATTTCTTCACAGAGTGCCTCTTTTTCTTTTAGGAGAGATGAGTCTGACAGTCCATTTGGGTTGTCTGGGAGATAGTTGGCCTCACATCGCTTGGCTTTCTTAAAACATCTCGAGTCACTCCCCACACTCCTCGGTCTTTTCCTATTTACAGATACCTCTGAACATCCAGCTGATCGCAACTTTTCACGGAAGTTGCCCATTTTAAACTTAATGCTCATAGTCCAGCTATTATAGCCACTTCCTGGGCCTGGATCTTTCAGACAAGGATATTTTGCTATCAAAGCAGCAGCCACAAACTCGATCTGCTTTATACTTGGATAGGCAGTGAATGTAAACATTTTCTGGGCCAGAGAATTGAGTATTTCAATCTTCATCTCTCTTGACATTGTGAGGAGAAGCTTTCCATTTTCTTCAAATTCCTTATTTGCTCTATTGAGACGTAGTTCTACATCATAAGCAAACTCCGGAATCTCAAATTCAGGTGGCCACTGTGAATTTCCCCGTTGCTTGACTGACACACTTGGTGAATTTTGCGCTGAGCTGCTTGAAGAGGAGGGCATGCTGGCTGTGTCTAAAGAGGAAATTGTGTCGGCATCTGAATCAGAGAACTTCTGGATGATCTTCAGCACAGCTCTATCACTTGGAAGTTGTGTTATTTCAGTTAAATTACAGAGCTCATTTCCAAAGTCTGGATCCTCAAATTGAATTACAAAGTCATTTTTTATTTCAACACCTTCCTTAAGGATTTCTTTCAATTGTTCAACTGAAGTGAGCTCTTCGGTAATATCCAGTCTTCTGATGTTGTCAAGGGCCAAAATCACGCGTAGACGCACCATCTTCAAAAAAAGAAAACAGAACAGTGTTAAAAAAAACAAAACAAAAAAACAAAGTAAAGCCAACATTTTTAAACTGAAAGAAACCTCTTCACTGCAATCATGTTCTTTCCCTGAACTACATACAGTGGGAGTGGATGAAAATTAGGGCTGGGCGATAAAACGATAACGATATATATCGCGATAGACATGTGTTCGATATCAATAGAGAATGGGGTCGATAGAATGTTCGATAGTTTAACTTAACTCCGTCAGGAAAAACAGGAAGAAAACACCGGAAGTAAAGCCGACTCATAAGCGCATGGCATTGTGGGGGATGTAGGCAGAGGCTTCTCGACCAATAACAGCCGAGCAGGAACCGCAAAACTTTCTGGGAAATGCAAAAACACCAACAACCGCAGCATGCGTGGCGTCCATGGATCTATAGCTCGTGTTTCAATGCCGTGTCAATGGTTATGCACGTACGTGCGCGGAATAACATGTGCGGCGGCAGAGGCAGTGGACAGACCCGATGTATTCGGCGAAAGCAAGAGATTAACTTTTTCCTCGGGAAGCATGTGCGGCACAGAGCCACACGGAGCGGCCACGGGGACACAAGACCCTCAAACAGCTAAACCAGGAGCTAAACCAGGAATAAAAAACCAGGATTAAACCAGGACTAACAACGAGGGACACAGTGTGAACATATTCCTCCAGCCTCATCGCCCCGTGACTGTAAACAAGGCTGCTAAGGTTGGTTAGCCCACACCACAAATATATTTATTTAGGTTAAAAAAAAAAACTCAATATATATCGTTGACCGATATGACTTATATCGTGATATAGTTTTCAGCCATATCGCCCCGCCCTAATGAAAATCATTCAAGTCTTCCAGCTGCATTCATTTCACCAACAGCATAACATCTGTAGTGCTCATCGTAGCATGAAGAAAGCCTCTTGCAAAGAAAAGACGCCATGTTTGCATTCACGATAACAGTGACAATTTCAAAAAATTCAGGCAATCCGCCTAACTGACCCGAGGACAAAATCATGCCATTACTGAAGTGAATCCCATGGACCTTTACACCAGATGCAAGCATCAGCACCTCTTTGTTGGGATATTTTCTCTTGACTGCAGCCCCATAAGTTTCCTGTAAAGTACATGTTCTCACAGTTTTTACTTTTTGCACAGATAGTGGTGGTGAAAAGATACTGGGACCATTGAGATAATGTGCAATCATAAGCTGATGTTTGGATGCCAATGTAAGTGGAATGTTTTTAAAATTACGGGCATCTTTCACAACCCCTTTGAAATAGCTATGTTTCGCTTCAAATCTCATTGTCCAAAGCTCAACCAAGGGCCCAAAACAGCGGATCAAGTGTGGATAATGCTCCACAAAGTGATGCTTTGGTTTCAACTTCAGGTTGGGAAATGTCTGTTGAATGTCTGTTGAGGCCAGCTTGGCCTCAAGTTCCAAATAACTTGTGGGCTCTGAGTAAGTGGCAGTTTCAGGTACATTGCTCTCAGCAACACAGGACTGTGATTCAGGTATCTGTACTTGACTGGTGCCTTGTAATTGCGATTGTGTCTCTGTACTTTCTGAACGTGGAGTTTGAGATGTCACTCTAGTACTGAAATTGTCAAATCCATAAGACTTGTGTTTGCGTGATATGTGGCTGCTAAACGAACTGAGAACATTGGTTTTCAGGTTACAGTCCTTGAATGGGCATTGGACTGTGTCACAACTCTTCAAATGATTTCGTAAATGTTTTACAAAATCCAATGGCTGGCAGTCATTTGTTAAATCACATAAATCACATTTAAAATGGAAGTTCCCAACATCTGAAATGGCCGCCTTATGCGCCCTGCTAAGATGAGATTTTAACGCACCTTTTGTTTTAAATGTGCAGACGCAATCCGCATACACACAGGGTTGCTGCCAGGATCAACCTTGATAGTGATGTAGCCTGTAATGTTTCAGAAGGACGTCCAGAGCACTGTGGTCAAATGTGCACAGCTTGCAATGCATTACAACCTGAAAAATATAAAAATATATGAATTATTCACAATTTTGTAGAGTAGAAAATAAGATAATTATCTATAAAATGTATACGTATTATTTATTTATTTATCTGAAATGGCACAGTAAAAATTTAACAAACAACGAACCAAGCCTCAATGTAATGGGTCAGTTAGCATAATAGATAAATATGCATTACGTAAGCAAAGGACTGTAAAATAATAATATTTATTTATAAATATCCATCCATCCATCCATTTTCTTCCCCTTAATCCATTTCTAGGTCAGGGGGCTTGCAGTCAGAGCTGCACCCAGTCACAGAGCACCAGCCCCTCACTGATCCTCCTGCAGGTGCTGAGTCCACAGGAGCCTTGATCTTTCAGCAGGGGCTTCAGGCAAAGTGGGGTTAAGTGTCTTGCCCAAGGACACAACGACAGCAGTCATCGGTTGGAATCGTGAAGTAGGTCTTACGGTGGGCTCGAACTCACAACCTTCAGGCTCTAAGGCCAATGCTCTACCAACTGAGCCACTGTCGCCTTATTATTTATAAATAATATTGTCTAAAACAATGGTCAAATCACAAACCTGTACAGTAATTATATATATATAATATATATATATATATATATATATATATATATATATTTCAGTTAACTGTAAAAATAGTCATTGCATTAAATCACCAATGTATATATGATAATGCAATATTTATCTTTTGTAATAACCCATTCCAAATAGCCTTCCACACAGACATTTTACTGTCCTTCAAGCACAATCTTAAATATTTTATAATATAAAGCCACGTATGTAAATGTATATGTAAAAATAATATGTTCAGAAAAACACATGCAGGGATCAAAGTTAAGACTTTTCTGTGGCGTGTTTGTCCACTACTTATCGCGCACAGGAGAAAGCAACAGGTCTCTGACTGGCGCTGAGAGCATCTGTGTGCGAGAGAGTGCGTGCACGTCAGTGTGTGTGTATGCAGGGGCGCGCGGGCGCCACGTGAACAAGCAGAAGCCCTATACTGAGCGTGATCGCGGACAGGTGGCTTTATCCGTGCGTAAAAGCGGCCTTTACCTCGGACTCGTCACGTTTGGCAGCGCGGATGATGTGCTCAGAGCTCAAACAGTAAAGTGTGCAGCTCTGGGTGCGCTGACGCCGCGAAAGTTAATGCCAAAGCGAAATCGAAACTGTTGCTGCTCCGTGAAAAATGGCCACGGCACGCACGGGGAACGAGTGTCAAAAGCACACGACATCATTACACTAATCAATTGTTGTAACAGACCGATTCGAGACATGCATAGAATCACACAGCCTAATGAGAGTCCACTTGAACATGCTGAAAACTATAATGGCGCCGACCGAGGGAGGCTCATACAAATATACACAATCCAGACTTTCACAGCAGATTCACGTACATTAAGTTTTCAGACGTCGAAACCAGATCGTTTATTACATGAGGGGAGGACAAATTACGGAGGCTTACTACTTGCAATAGTACAAGTAGCAATGATAATAGTAGCAAAAGTAACGAGCCATACTACTCTAAGAATTTTGAAAAAAGCGTGGGTGATTCGGAGAACCAAGCGATGTAAACGCATATTAGGTCATTTGACAGAAAACCGTGTTTCAGAAGATAATGTTCCTTACCTGGGAGATAGGGAGGGTGGAGAACTTCAATGGCTGCTTCTCTCAGGCACATGGTGGTGTGGTGGGGCGGAGCTTGTGGAAACTGCAGGGGCGGAAACCCCCTACAATTTACTTAAAGCGCAAGCGCGAACAAATAGCGGTCAAGGATTGGTATGAGAAATTGCCAAAATAATTTATCTCAACTTTTCGTTTTGCAGTCACTGAACAAAGCAACAAATTAACAATGATTAATTGCGTTTGTGAGTTGACTAAGCATTTAACAGGGTTTGAACATTCACTGCACTTATATTTCTAAGTTCAGATAACAAATAGCAAGTTGGGTTTTTTACAGTGTACATTTGCATCAGGCTTTGGTTGTGGGGGCCGTGGTACCAGCTGCTCTGCCTCTCACACAGTCTGTATAGAGATGAATGATTCCCTGGGTGTCGATAAGTCACCAAAGCTCACACAAACGACACACTCGCATCACCATGGAAACTATGCAAACACACAATTTATACAAGGAAGTACTGCAAAGTCATTTCCATCCAATCATTTGTATCAGTTTTAGAAGTCCTCAATCATGAGTGATTTCGTTCAGAACTCCACAGTACTTTTTCAAACGAAGAAGAGGTTTGTAAATAGACAAAACAATAGAGAGCAATAGAACTTGCCTAATGCCAGATGTTGAATTATAAACATTAGAAAGAGATGCGATTCTGCGGCTGTGTGATGATTCAGATACAGCCTGTTGGAGAAAAAGTCATTTCAACTACATTTTTTTAACTTGAAGTACCAACAACATATCGCTTATAATAATGAGCCTCCAAAAAGAATGTTCTGTCCTAGATTGCACAAGCAGAACAAGGGGGAGTAAGCAATGTCCTAATCAGCAAATGATCATGGTGTACAAATCTCTCTTATATACTTCTTTTGGGCACAAGGGGGTCAATCTTTTTGTAGCACATCTAGCGAAAATCTAATTCCACAGCAAACAGTTAATGAATGCACAGACACAAACAACGACCCATTTATAACTTTTTGTTTCAGGGAATATGAAAATCGTAGGGCTGTAACAAGTTCATTGATTGATGAAACGAATCAATCATTTAAATAGTTACTATTTTTTAAGCTGACATTGACTTAAACAGGATGGGAAGAGGCTTTATTACTCAGATCATTCTACCATGACGGTAGAATGAACTGAGAATGTGTTTACAAAGTATTTTTAATAAAACCATTCAATGTTGAACAAGTCATCTCTATGAAGACGTTCTCCAGGGGTATCACTTGAGAAAAAATGTATCAAAAATTACACAATCACTTCCGGGATCTAAAGCCCTCAGGACAAGAGAATTGGTGACAACATCAAGCCTCTGACAATGTTTTTGACTTAAAAACTACCTCCGGTTTAGATGAAGAGGCCGTTAGGGTGAGATGTGTGAGCAGCAGTGGAAGACTGGCTCTCAGCTCCGAGTGGGGAAGCATTTGTTTGTGTGTGGAAAGAGAGCGCTGGAGCACGTAATAGACCTGGTGTTCATAGCATTTAGACTGATGACTCCATTCTGGCCACGATATCCCAGACTCTCTCTCAGGCCAGCTGTGATGTGGTTCGACAAGAAAACAGCGTTGAGATCAGACCCCACAGGACGGAGGCACAGGTAAATAAAAGCCCAAAAATTGTCAGTCAAGAAGGAAATGAATGATTGCGTCAATAGTTCACTCTAAAAAACATGCAAAATGCTTTATGCACTGCTGATGTAAAAGCTAGACCTGGGGCTTTTTCCAATCTACATTTTGTTTTCTGCTCCGCCAACAGTCATGATAGGTTCAATTTAAAAATAACGGCATTATGAAAAGTGCCAGGGCAAATAAAGTTCAAGATTGGAGAAGGTGGCGTGGCATAAGGTTCTAAATATGTGGTTGGAGTAATATGCATTTTTTTGTAATATCAAGGTAAAAAAAAAAAAACATACATTTTACACAACAAGCATAAAACATACATGAAAGAATCAAGAGATGGGATCATTATTACATAACAGGCGGATTAAGTTGTCTAAACGCACACAAACTCCAGATCCCTCACTCCACTCACTCTAAATTCTACTGTTGTGCATATCTGTAGTGAGGCTGGGTACATTGCCAATTGTTTACAAGCGTTTGCTGCATCCAGTCCCCAATCCAAAACCGTGTGCGTTATTTTCTTCTGATAAACAAGTGTTGTACAGGTTTTGAAATAAACATCATGATTGATTGATTATTATAATAACAATACATCAAAAACACCAATACTCGACCTCACTACAATACAAATACATATCCTTAAAAACAGAACCAGATTATTTCAGAACAACACAAATCAATATCATATAACATACATTCGTTCTTTCATATTTTAAAGTTTACTATCATGTTGACGTCATAGAATAATGAAAGGCATCGGAATTTCCATTTAATCAGAATAGATAATGCAAACCAGTTTCACTTTGGGACCATACATAAAGGGAATTGAACCACAGTGGGGCGGCAAAAGTGTAGTTCGGCAAGACACCTCAACCACATTGCCTTAGAGTCTGGTGTGTGCATGATTGGAGGACCTGATGGCATAGATAAGTTGCCTTGCTTCAGTCTGCTCTAGGGCATGTGTGGCTACAGCAGTAGTTAACACCACCATGGATGTGGCAGAACACACTAGAACACTAGAAGTAACGCATTATTATTATTGAAGGTCACAGTCCTGTCAAAACGGCCAATTACAACATAGCTGTGTTCTACGGGAGGCTAATGGTTCTATGCCACAGACAACATAGGGAAAGGTGGGCTTAGATTTTCCTGGGTGCTGGTTTGACAAGGAGAAAGCAGTTGGGAGACCAGGGCAGTTTGGAGGCGAGAGGGCAAGGGCTTTTGTCGCCGCTTTAATATAATTTGGGTACCATACAACAACTGATTATAACAAAGTCAGACTCTACAACCACTAAGATTGATTAGAAAGGTAGAAGGATATTGGATGTTGCCTTGGCAATGGTAGAATTCCTAATGAGCTTCTGCAATCAGGCCTTCTGCACCATCTGTCCCCTCATTAGCCCTGGCTTGTACTAACCACTGTGTTTACACTAGACTTGAATTTTTTGTTTGCTCGGCGCTCGTTCACTGGAATACAAATAGGCCTGTTGTTTCCCATCTGCATCGCAATAACTTTATTAACATCAAGCAACTTCAGACAGCACCTTTGTTGAGAGACTATCCACTCTGAATCTCGCCTATGCTGTGACAAAGGCAAAACGTACTCACAATTTTAGCTAGGCAAAGTGAAATAACAGAGAGAATTTTGTACGCAACGTTTTTGTGAATCTAAGTTGTATAATGGCAGGATGGGAGTGCAGTACAGGATCCATCTTCAGGGATCCTGTACTCCTGTACAGGGTTCAGGCTTTTTCATTGCCGTTTTCAAATGCTTCCGTCTGTAGGGATGCAGACGCTCCCCTCTTAACCCTGCCGTGACACTTTGAGATACTAGGGTGAAGTAGGATCAATACCGGGGTTGGTAGTGTCCTAACCTTGCCTTTATTTTGAGTCATGGCAAAGCTGGAGGAAAATGAATGGGAGTGAGTCAATCTTTGTAAAAGGTTACGCAAGTGTTATCTAACAACACCACTGAAGACACTTTTGGCAGAACTGAAATGACAAGGTTCTTAATGTATTCATCCAATCTTATTATTTTAGAAGAATGTAGTTGGAAGCTAAATGTGACCATGTGTATAGAATAATAATGTATTTTGTCCATAATTTATTCTGAAGTGAAAAAGATAGAGCATTTAAAGCAGTGGTCTTAAACTCAATCTCGTGCCTGGGGACAGCTATAGGTCCAATCTGAAAGAGGCTGTGACATATAGAGCAATCCAGGCACTAACCACGCACACATGGAAACCCTCGTGTGCTACAGCTCTAAGTCCAAAAACATGGAACAAAGTGTAGAAGGAAAAAAATACACAAAAATATACATCAAAACATGACCAATAGTTTCTACATTTAAATTAGAGAGAGGGAGAGGAAGGGAAACTACGGAACCCTTTGTTTTATCACTTATTGCGTTTGGGGTACAATGATTCTAACAAATAATGAATTTGATCTTTTTAGTGAATACAAAATGTGAAAGGATGCATACCATGCCGTAGCCCAGGCTCTCAGTGAACTTTGAGGTCAAGTAGGGGGGGATTGCCGTATGACTATTGTCCTTAGCTGCTGCCTGTGGACCAGCAATGGAAGAACTCATGGCACATATAATCTTATCTGATTATGATGGAAGGGGATTTAGGTGCTGCTGCCTAAATGCTGCTGGGTTGCGCTGATTAGAGGTTGGGGTTATATAACAAGTAGAGATAGAAGAAAATTACAAAACACAAATGCTCACACTAATCAGAGTATGTTTCAATAATATGTTACGACACCTTATCCGAACAACGTCAACATGGACGAACATCACCACCATATTTCTTCCAAATGTAAGGTTTGTTTCCACAAGGCAAAGTCCAAGAGTAACTCAAAGCTCTGACTGTCTCCCACAAAATGTCAATGTGTATTGATTTACTCCTCTGAGATGGGCCACGATCCATGAAGAGATGAAAGGCCCATAATGAAATGAGGAAAACGGACATGCTGCTTAAGTTGGATGTAGGAGCATTTAATTAGTTCAGATTAAAACAGGTGGATTTCCGAATGCTGTCCCTTTATCTTATTCAAATAATAGAACATTACATTATAGTTAATTAAATGATGTTGCATAAGTCTGCGTTCAGCCTGTACAACACGTCACCTGTTCTGGGTACAATACACCTAGCTTCAAAGCTAACATGTGCACATTTATAGATCAATCACACACACGCAAACTAACACACACACACACTTACACAAACACAGAAATATACAAAGGGTGAGAGATTTCCACAAACAAAATCTGCCAATTCTTACTTACAATGAGAAAATAAATAAGGTTTTTTGCCACCCATAACAGATTATGTGGTTTACAATAGGACAAAAGACTCATCAAACTATGAGCAATGATGGGTGACTTAAACTTTGACAAATAAACAGAAAAATAATCAC